TCGAAGATTAATTTGCAAACAAAAAGACCTCCTTTCGTTAAACAGTTATTCATAATGGATTTTTTAACAGTGGAAGAAAAAATATAAATGATTTTGATTTATGGAGAAGCAGGCAGGAATCTTGATGATGCTGTTAATATCTACGCTCAGCGTTTTCCGCATAAAATTCGATCACTTACTTCATTTCACCGTAAAGTCAAGCAGTTTACTACAAACGGGAGTGTTCAACCGAAAAAAAGAGTTCGTCGAGCAACAATCACAGATGGAAATAATGAAATTAATGTATTAGCAGCAACGGCCGCTAATCCTCATGCAAGCACACGATAAATATCTAGAGATTTGGGAATATCCCGGAGCAGTGTTAGCAGAATATTAAAACGAAATGCGAATTAATAAATGCATTGAAGTCGAAGGCCGCCATTTTAAGCACCTACTTTAATTAAAATTTAAAAAATAAATAAATTTAAAAAATAACACCAAGTATTTTATTAGAGAATCGTATACAGAAAAAAAATGAACAAAATTGATTTCGGTTAAAGTGGTTAACAAAATATATATAAATATTCTGCATGTCGAATAAAACGGATTTTCCACAATATCATAAAAATAAGATCTAACAGAAAAATGATGGTCATTTTTGGAATCAGTTCACCGAAATTACCCTAGAAAAGTTATTGCCCACCCTGTCTCAACCAAAAAATTAAATTTTTTCGACCAATGTTATTGGATTCATTAATCTGATATTTTGAATGTATTTTAATAATAATAATAATTTAATTTTAGTTAGTAAGACATTGTCATCTTACATTATAATGTAAGAAAGTTAATTTTTGTAAATATTGCCAAATTTATTCCAAGAAAGAATGAAATTTTATTTTAAACATGTATCATGATATTTTTAAATTATATTTAAAATTATTTTAATTTAAGTAAAATGTATTAAATATAACGATAATATTTCGCGAGGCGAAAATTTTAATATTCTATCTAAAAGCGTTTAAAAAATTGACCATATAAAAATCAATTTTAGTTGGCTTTATTTGGTCAAAATATAATTTATTGACTTTTCTAGGTAGTTTTATATTATTATGTGAATTATGTTTTGCTCATTTATACTTTTTATGAAAGAATAATAAACAAAAATAAAATATAAAATATAAAGATAGAACAAATATACAAAATAAAAATTTGATTTTAAATTTTGTTTTAACTAAATGAATTTTAAATAAAAAAGCATTTATTTCACAACTTTATTCTTACACAATATAGTAAACAATATGAAACAAAAAACCAAATGAAAAACGTCATTTTTTCTTTTTTCCAGCTTCAATTTTTTTCTCATGCATCTTATCTTAAAATTCTTAAAACATGCTTTTAATAAACTGCTTATCAGCGTCTGGAATTAATTTAAATAATTGGTATAAATAAACCTTAACTTCAGCAAGTAATAGTATATTACACTACAAGGGCAGAAAGTGTGAGATTCCTGCACTGCGCGCAGTTCAGGGCTCTCACACTTTCTGCCCGTGTAGTGTATACTATTTTTCTTACTACCTTGGCCGAAAATACAACCCGGCCGAAAATACGGGAAAAAATTAAATGTGTATTTATGTACCTATCTCCATTTGAAGAGCTTGATAAATAAATAACAGTAGGCCGTGAATTCAGCGGTGCCAATACAGTAAAAATAAAAGGTTGTATTTAAATTAACAAATTACTACTTTATAACAAATAAAAGTACCATTAAACACTTAAAACAACATAAAAAGTAAAAAAGTAAAAACATAAATTGTTTATTTGTTGTTATAATTGCAAAATTATGGTTTAAAACTGTCATATTTTTGTGTTTCTCATGTTGGCAGTACGAAATTTGAATGTTAAGCACACGACTAAAAAATTTTTACTCCCGCTATTAGAGTGTGCGCGTATAGCTTGACCAATGCATAAAACGTAAACTTTCTGCCGTGGAATCGGGGACGAAACAACGTATTTGGAGTCGAGGTAGTAAGAAAACATTTTTTTACCAACGGACATGGTCTCAACCGCAACTTAAAAAATCCTTTGTGGCTTCTTGTTCCAATAGGATAAATTAGATTTGCCTATACAAAATCTTTGTCATCTAAGGACCTTCACCGATGCATAAGTTAATTTAAAATTAATATTCTCTAAGATTTCCCGTATTTGAGTGTGCCCTGGCTCTGAAAATTGATCTCCGGGAATTCTTCAATACACTTCTTTAAGGCAAACGACAACTGAATTAAAGGTATTAAATTTTTTTGAATAAAAGAAACAGGAAATATTAGATCGTGGAAGAACAAATACATTCTCCATATCAAAACAAATAACGGCTGTTGTTTTATCTGTACTCTGGCGGTCCTTATAACTTTTATTTTGCAAAACTCCTTTGATTTAAAGTGTTTTTTAAATTTCTTTACTTCTATAGATAGGTTACCACCATTTTTTAAAATACGATATTCTTTGCAAACGCCACATTTTGGTTTAAGAAATTAGTAATTGAAGATGCTTCGATAAAAGCTCTTTTTAACGGGTGTAACATTTTTCTTATTACACAATTCCTCGTATATTTTATTGTTAGAATTTAAAAAAGCAAGTGAAATACAATAAATAAATAACAGAATAAATTTTTCACCATATTTTCTTGCTTTTTTTGCTTTTAGCACGAAATTAGGACACAAAAGAGCTCTCATGTATCGCAGAAATTACAGTCTTAAACTGAAATTTACAGAATTGTAATGTTCTATCTCCAAAATTCCGAGAATCCCATTGGCGAAGCAGATAGAACATTATAATGATTTGGTATTGCTGGAAATAAAATATAGAACAATTTTCAAATGCATTTTGTAGCTTAAAGAGCAATAAAAATTGTTTTAAGTCATTGTAAGTATAACCATATTCATTAAAATATCTTAACCAAGCTAAAATCCCAGATTTGGAAAAAAGTGCAGATAGAACAATATAATTCTCTCCTTGCGCAGTGTTATTGGATTCATTAATCTGATATTTTGAATGTATTTTAATAATAATAATAATTAAATTTTAGTTAGTAAGACCTAACATTATGATGTAAGAAAGTTAATTTTTGTAAATATTGCCAAATTTATTCCAAGAAAGAATGAAATTTTATTTTAAACATGCATCATGTTATTTTTAAAATTATTTTAATTCAAGTAAAATGTATTAAATTAACGATAATATTTATTGTTATTGTATTAAATTGTCAAAAATGGCGAATGCGCCGGGATAACCGTTTCGTATTTTCTACTTTCTTTCCAACTTTTTAATTACAGTTAATTATTTAATAGTCGTGATTGTTTTGCTGTTGGCGAAAATTAATTTTTGATTTGCTTTATCAAAGTTCGCAATTTAAATTTTACCAAAATCGATAGTTGTCTCCTCTCGCCCGGCTTCTAGCTTTTTTGTTTCGAGTCGTCCTCGTATTGAGGTTATGAGGGGCGCATGCGCTGCCAATATCACGTACACTCGATATTTTCCATAAAAATAAATTTTTGCTACCATTTATTCTTATAAAACAATCTTTAAGCAACAATTTTTTTCTAATGGTTTTGCGGTATTAAAGTTGAAGACGTTGTATAATATTTAAAAATTATTAACGCGCTTTTTAATCGCATCCAGTCTGCATTGTTGCCGCTGTTTGTTTTAAACGGTCTTAGTTTTGGGGATTTTTGTTTTATACTTTTAATTTTTTGTATGTCTGTATAATACTTGTACTATTTTGCATTTATTTTTTTTATTTTCCAGTTTGCAACACAAATTCTACCCTATGGCCAACTACTATTTTTTGTAAATTTATAGTTTTTTTCTATTAAGACTTTGACAACGTTAAACATTGAGTGAAAAAGTTACTAAACCATCATCGAAGTAAACTAATAACAAATATTATTATTATCGTTTTTTTCGCGTAAATATATACTAGTTATGACGTGATAGTTAATTCTATTAACCATGGTTAAGTGTAACTTGTGACATTTGTTTACTTGTTTATAACCTAGATTCATGCAGTGTTTAACGTTTATACGTAAATTATTGTTACTTATGGTGGTTTAGAATTTCAATATAATTTTCTAATTTAAAATGTATCACAAAAAAACGACAGAACAAAAGAAGAAATATATATTATAAGGAACCCTGTTGAATAACTACTTCGGCGAGATGGTGTAGTAATGGTGACGTTATTGTTAAGAATGTGGAACGCACTACAAACGCGAAAATACATTAACTAAGGTTATGTTTAATAACCATACTAGTTCATGTTATTTACGCGAAATTTGATATTTAAAATAAAAGTACTTCATTTTCTTATGTTCTGTCAATTTTGCACTTTTTAATTAAAAATTGTTAAAGCCATATCCAAAAATTATAATTTTATTGTAATTTTATTAAGTATCAGAATAATAAATATTGTCAACAAACGGTCAAAATATTTTAAATTATATACCTAATTATACTCAATGTGTAAAAACTCAAATAAAAAACGAAATTACAAATTATTTAAAAATTATGTTATTTAATTTAAAAATTACACAAATATATGTTTTTTAAAGAAATGTAAATATTCTTTCTTAATTTAATTTTAAAACATAAAGTAATTTGTTTATTTTTAATTCTTAAAAATTAATAAAAATAAGATTTAAGTTTAATTTATTTCTCAATTATTAAAAAAGAACTTGAATTATTATTACTATAAATATAAATAGTCATGGTTCAATTCAAAAAAACCGTTGAATTTAATAAAATATTGTGTGTTAATAAAAAATAACCTGGGTACATCTTTTTCTATAACTACCTAAACAATTTCTTGTGGAAAACCCAATAAAAAACATCGGAATGATGATTTAAAAGGATTTCAATTATTTATTTTGTAAAGGTATGTTTGGCAACGTCGCGCTGGCGTTAACGACGATAATCGACCCCAAACGAACGCTAAACTTTTTTCATAATAAAAGCTTGGAGAGGGGAGACGCACGAATAGTAACATCAGTTTTGTGTAGACTGTTGTGTTTGCCCTGTCCTTGCTAAGACCTGACTAATATCGAGTTTCATGTATGTTCGAGGCAGCATTCGGTGCAATTTTCCCAAAATGATGAATGACACTCGGTGTTTTTGTGTGTGATGTCGATGTGTTTGAGTTGAGTGCCCGCGATTTTGGCATTTTCGACCCGAATTTCGACTTACGAAGTAAAAATTTTGGATTACCTTGTAAAAATGGCTTTAGCGAGGTAAGTTTGAATTGTCGTGGATTTTCCGTTGTGTTCGGTTTTGCGGTTGCGGGTTTTCGGATTATTTGGGCGATTTGTAGGTATGTGGAGCACGGTCGCGGTATTAAATGACCCCAAAATTCGAAATACATATTAACACGAACCACGTTGGAAGCTTTCTAAAAATATTTAAAATAATGCGAGTAAAAAGTAATTTATCCTCATTCCCATTAAGAGGGCATAAATGAATAGTTGGAAAATTAAAAGAGTTAAAAGTATCGCACGTACTGAACTCAAAATCAAGGAGAAAAATTTCTATTTTGCCGTGCCAATATGAGCGAGCGCGAGAGAGAGCACAAGACACCAACAAGAATATTTTATTCCTGTTTTGTTGACCTCGCACTAGCCTGAATTATTTTTTCAGGCTCAGGGACTATGGCCGAGTACATTGTTCTTCTTGAGGCCATCGGACTCCTAGGTCTCCAAGGCCTTTGCGCGCGGCCGGTCATCGTCCGGAAATGGACTCTATGCATTGCCTTCTGCCAGCGGCTCCTCCGCCAGCCTTTTGCCTCTCTTCCAACTTGCGGTACCAATGAATATCACGTCACGGTTTTTTCGTGAAATTCAACGAACTTTTGATCAGGGAGCCGTGAAAAACGAAAGGGAGGCAATGAACTTGAAAGCATTGCCTGCTATCTATTAACAATCCAGCTATTTGTCGTTGAGTCTTGTCTTCTCCGCACAGATAAACATATCTAAAGTCTTTGTGTTCAACAATACACATATATGTGTACAAACACTTTCATCAGTTTGTATTGTTTAACCAAATCGTGTTTAATTTACATCGCCTCGGAACCTAGCCATATTATTTGTCTAATTTGAAGGTACTTTACATAATAAAACGATAAACTTTCGTAGCATTAACAATATTGTAATTTTTGGGTTGGTTGTATTTTTAGCAGGTAGTACAAATTATTTTGTTTTATATTAGCACCTCAGAGGTAATATGTATTACCTTTGTCATGAATTATTAATTGATGCTATTTAAAAGTATTTGGAATATAAAATCTGTTGGAAACAAAATTTCACGTTTTATTCACATATCCAAAGTTATTCCGAAGACTATGACATAATTTTATGCGAGTTAAATTTATTTACACATTTTAATAAAATGTAATTGACATTTTTCACATTTACCAACAAATTCTTATCCTTATCCTTCTTTTATAATCTCCAGCCATCAAACGTTTTTTATCATATTTATCGTAATATCGTTCGAACCTTTAAATAGAATTTTATGAAATTTGTATTGCTTTCTACTTTAAACTTTCTATTGTCTTTAAATACCTTTCCGAAAATATTATATACTTTCAAAAAACCGTTTTACAATCCTAGAGGTACCTCAATTTTACCTGTCAAAAGTATATCGTTACCTGCTTCCACCAAAAGGGATGAAACAAGATCCACCTACGACATTTCTAAAAATTACTTATTTTTTACATGAAATTTATCATGGTAGCCTACTCGATGCATATGTTCTCTTAGTATTCGGGCACGATATTCACATCTGCCGTCGAACACTACACCCTCTCCCCATTCTTTAGGAATCAACATCTCCCTTCCTGCGTGGAAAAGGAGAAGATTCCACTCGGCCCTTCTAATTACCCTCAACGCGTTTAACTGTAACAAAGACTTCGAAAACGTTGTTTTATTCATTAATAATGTACATGGTAATTTGGAAAACATGTTCCACTGGTCGTGAGAAGATGAGAAATCTTATGATAATCTGTTCTTGTTAACATATCCGATCTGAGTTTTTATTAAAACTGCAACCTTAATTATATCACAATATTTTGATGATTGATAAAGGAATATTATTTGATTTTTGAATGAGTAACTTTTTTGTAGTTGATGTAGAGATTTAAACGTCCTTTTCTACGTTAAGCATATATGCATAGTTTAGGACCTTTTTTCGTAAAAAAATAGTAGATTATGTCATAAGGAGTAGAAGTGACTCTTTTTGTGGTGAGTACAGAGATTGACGGCCGAAGCGTAGCTGAGGCAGGCAACTGTACGAAGCACAAAAAGAGCTTCTACTCCAAATAACATATACAATTTTTTTTTCAAGGGCGTAATATAAATAGGATAAGCAATAGAATTATTTTATTTACTTATAACTCATGTGGTATAAAATTTTGGCTAAAAGCATCACAAATTATTGATAAAAAGTAAAAAAACGTATAACCCTTACTTACAATGCCAATAAATATCCTAAACCATAGATAACAAAGCCTAAACTAAAAATAAACACTGCTCTGTCAAAATGCTGCGCTTGAATTAATTTTGACGTACTGACATTTGTTTGGAGTTCCGACATTGGCGACTCGTCTATCATCATTATATTATACTAATAAACTAGTTGTTCTTTATTTCGTTCAATTAAAATTTAATAAATAATCACTAAATATTCCGTGCGATTATAATTAATATAATTAATACATCGTGATTGCTTTGTATGAAATGCTAAATTAATTTTATTATTTGACGTCTATTGAGACACCTATGGATTTACTTCTATCCCTAGGCTTTTTTGAGTTTTTTGTCTGCCGCTAATGAAAAAGACGCACTTCAACTATCTCTATACAGGCATATAAGGTTGTATATCATGGCCGCTTGAAAAAAAACCAAATTTTATTTAGCAGTTAAATATAATTTAAAATTTTAGACCAAACTTGTACCTCAACGGTTGGCTTTGAAAAAAAATAAATACAATTTTTGTTGAAAATTTAAATTTTTCACAAAAAAGGTCATGTGAGTCGAATTCTGAAATAAATATTTTAAGAAAAATGCGATTAATGTTTTTTTCGCTAATTTTATTTGTTCGTTACAAAAAACAATTAAAATTTGTGAAAATTTAAATATTAAATTATTGTAGCTTTTTTAAAAAAACACCTTTTGAAAAAGTTCTGAAAAAAAAGGTTTTTTTTTCATCTCCAAGGCAGATCTTATACGAAACATCCTGTATATATAATACCCATTTTTAAATAAATTATATATAAATAAGTAATCCAATAAAGTAGATATTAGTTTCAATGTCAAATTAGTGCTTATATAAAAAGTATCTGTTTAGTTATCAGTTAGGCGACAACCTTGATCTTATAAACAAAAATACCTAATATTTAAAAATGAAAATATTGTGATTTAAAACCGAAATCCGTTTTAACCTTACACGAAGAATTAACCCCTTAAATGTGATTCGTTTAAATCCTTTGTTAACTCTCCATCCAGGATTCTCGGAAGGGATTTTCGACGAAACTTTTCAATAAATGAAGCCACTTCAATTTAAGCTAAGATTTCATACAAGCGACCGATCCAATCATTTTAAGATCCAATTTTGTAAAGGAAGCTTTTTTTTGATAACATTTTATTGACAAATTAAATTAAAGCCAGACATTTTGATGATTAAAAAGAGCATTTTATAACTGGATAATAAATTTACTTAGATCAAAAGAGAACTGAATTATATTGGTTCTAAGCACAAATAAACCATCCATAAACCATCTCTATAAAAAATCACGTTTATTCGTCAACGAATTGCAATTGCTTCGTAAAAGAAACAAATATATATTTTTTATTGCAGATTATGATTTAGCAGATAAGTGTTAACAATTAATAAAAATTACACAGTGCAACAGCAAAAAAAATGATGGGGTTCTGAAAGTGGTTTTCGTTTCTCCTATCCAAAGAATGCCTTTTTGCGTTTGCAGAATGTTTAGATTGATTCAGGTTTTTTTTTAAGATCGATTTTAAGTTTTATTAATTTTGGAACCCGAAAAACCGTTATTTCTTAATTTAAACCAATTAACTGGTAGGAAATTGTTGCCATAACAATAAATTAAAAAGAAATAATAAAAAATAAAACAAAAATTAAAAATGGGTGTAAACATGTCACATCTTGACCTGTTCGAAAATCAGCTTTCCACCGAATCAGAAGAGCATCAAACAATAATCGAAATGGAAAATCGTTATAGAGGAAAGAGGTTTGATTCGATGTTGGCAGATTTTTGTTCTATGGCAATGGAAATTTTGGCATAAAATTATAAATAAAATTTGTTATATCTTTTATGTTTATTCATTCTATTTGTTTTTAATATATATATAATAATAATTACCATAATTATTATTATGGTAGAAGCGAAAGAACTAAGAAATAGCACTACAACATATTAAATCCAGAAAAAGATTAAATTTTTTAAAAAAATTGCATTTGATTGTTTTCATTATTTTTTTTTATTTGATTGTTATTACTTTATAAAACAATATACAAAACCAATAATTATCTTTTATGTACTAATTATTTATTATTTACGATATTTCGGGATCCAGAATGACTAAAACTTTAAATTGATATTAAAAAAAAAAAACAGAATCAATCTAAACATTCTGTAAACGCTATAATTCATAATTTTGATTGGAGAAACCGAAAATACTTTTAGAACCCCATCATCTTAATTTTTTCCGAAAATGTTCCAAAGTGTTATCAACAACTTTTAGTCGGCCCGTAAAATAGGTCCAAATTTTATAAGCCTGTAAACAGGATGATTTCATAAAAATGAAGCAAAAATTAAGGAACATTTTCAAAATACAGTGTTAAAAATTCCAATCGAATATTTTTTTAATTTGGCACAGATAAAAAATCTAGATTGCTTATCTACCAGCTGGTGCGCCCTGTATCTCTTCAATATTGTTTACGCTTTGTAAGTTAAAATGCGTGTAACGCGTTTAATGCACATGAATGCAGTCACATTTTTTCACCAACCAGTTATCCTAACAATTCAATGTTATCAGCTTTCGTCCTTTACTCCTTTACGTGCAACGTAAACAGGGGGTGTGTCGGCCGATGTTGACCAATCAAAAGAACATATACGAAACGTCGACAACGAACCGTTTAACGGTCGAATGTATAGTAATATAATAACGCACGTACGGACAAAGGTAAAAGAACCGGGAAATTTCCTACC